CAATATATGGAAACTGGTTCTTTACAACTCTAGTCGTCTAAGCGATGGCTCACTCTTCCAATGAGGAGGTTCGGATGTAACGTTTCAGCATATGATGCATGTTGTTAAGGCTGTAAATACCAAACACTGAAACACAGGAAGGCTTAAGTTCATAACATGAACAACTATTTTCAACTGAAGTTTGCTGAATATACAGATAGAAAGCTCACCCTCCGCAGTGCTCTTCCTCAGGCTACTTCCTTAACATACCGCACTGCACCAAATGTTACAGACATATCAGAACAAAATAGCTTAGCAGACAAAAAGCTCACTTGTAGTGCTCTTCCTCAAGCTAATTTCTTACTATATTGTGCTATACGAAATGTTATGTAACATATTGCAACAGAACAGCATAACTTAATATAAAATATTAACAGTATGTTTTTAGTGTATTTGGTTTGCGACCTTATTGTTTCAATGTGCTCTGTTGGATTTAAGCTATTTTTATTGCTATTTAAATTGGATGGGTCTCTCTTATAAAAAAGATTTTAAACATCAGTGGACTAATCTGGTTAAAGGTTTAATAATAATGCAGAAAATAAACATCACACGTGTGCTTCTTATAGTAATGAAATAATCACAGCAGGTATTTCCAGCAGACATATAAGACTTTGAGCAGGAAACCTGCCCTCTGTTAAAAGAAAGGTCAGTGCATGTGTGGGAGTGACCATGTACGGGTTTGTGAGTCTCATGGACTCATCTCTGACATTCTGCAGACCCAGACCTCGCTCGCCGATCTCTTGGAGGATTACCTGGAGGAGCTCAGTGATGAAGAGTTAAAGAAGTTTAAATCGAAACTGAGTCGCACAAAGTATAAAGAGTTAAAGCCCCTTCCCAGGGGTCAGGTGAAGGGCTTGGATAGAACAGACCTCGCCGAGAAGATGATAAGTTGCTACATGGAAGCTGGTGCTCTTGAAGTCACACTTGAAATCCTGAAAAATATGAACCTGAATGACCTTGCTGAGAGACTGAAGGCAGACATGCAGAAGTGTAATCATATTTTTAACCTTTCTTGTTTTTCAAATAAAATGTAATCTTTTTTAGCTTTTGAAAAATAAATATATTAAATAACATTATATGGGAAATGATGAACAGTTTGTTAAAGACTGATGTCGAAGATGGAAATGAATATGAAATTCTTTCTTATTCCAGGTAACCAAGCTGGAAGTGAGCTGGGTGATGTATCAGACAAAAGTAAGAGGTGTATGCTATTATCTACATGTCTGTGGTGTTTCAGAAAAAAATCTGTATGATGTGAAATTTAAAGTTTCATTTATCACAGTGAAATAGTGAAAAATGTGTGTGTCTGTCTGTGTGTGTGTGTGTGTGTGTGTGTG